TTGCCTGTTACTCCAGGTGTTTCTTGACTTCCTACTTTTGCATTCCAGTCCCCTATAATGAAAAGGACATCTTTTTTGGGTGTTAGTTCTAAAAGGTCTTGTAGGTCTTCACAGAACTGTTCAACTTCAGCTTCTTCAGTGTTACTGGTTAGGGCATAAGCTTGGATTACCGTGATAATGAATGGTTTGCCTTGAAAATGAACAGAGATCATTCTGTCATTTTTGAGATTGCATCCAAGTACTGCATTTCAGACTCTTTTGTTGACCATGATGACTACTTCATTTCTTCTAAGGGATTCCAGCCCACAGTAATAGATATAATGGTAAGCTGAGTTAAATTCACCCATTCCAGTCCATTTTAGTTTGCTGATTCCTAGAATGTTGATATTGACTCTTGCCACCTCCTGTTTGACCACTTCCAATTTGCCTTGATTCATGGACCTAACACTCCAGGTTCTATGCAATATTGCTCTTTACAGCATCGGACCTTGCTTCTATCACCAAGTCACAACCACAACTAAGTTTTGTGGGTTTTTTTGCTTTGGTTCTATCCCTTCATTCTTTCTGGAGTTATTTCTCCACTGATCTCCAGTAGCATATTGGGCACCTACTGACCTGGGGAGTTCATCTTCAGTATCCTATCTTTTTGCCTTTTCATACTGTTCATGGGATTCTCAAGGTAAGAATACTGAAGTGGTTTGCCGTTCCCTTCTGCAGTGGACCACATTCTGTCAGACTTCTCCACCATGACCCATTCATCTTGGGTGGCCCCACACGGCATGGCTTAGTTTCATTGAGTTAGACAAGGCTGTGGTCCGTGTGATCAGATTATCTAGTTTTCTGTGATTATGGTTTCAGTGTATCTCCCCCCTGATGCCTCTCGCAACACCTACTGTCTTACTTGGGTTTCTCTTACCTTGGACGTGGGGTATCTCTTCACAGCTGCTCCAGCAAAGCGCAATCGCTGCTTCTTAATGCCAAGACAATTGGAGCCCCACAGCATGCTGTGGTAGGATGTAGTTCACCCATCAGAAGACACACCACCAGTCTATATCTGGTTGGTTCCCATCGCAAACACCAGCAGACCAACACAAGCTTTGGTATGCTCCCAAATCTTAAAACTTGTTAGAAACACTAAAGACAACAAATAGCCAAAACTATCCTGAGAAAGAAGAGCAGAGATATAAGTATCAATCTTCTTGGCTTTAGACTACACTACAAAGCCACAGTAATCAAAACACTATGGTACTGGCATAAACACAGACCCACCGATGAATGGAACAGAACAAGGAGCCCTGGAGTCAACTCACAGAGTCATTTAATCCATGACAGAGGAAGCAAGAATATACAATGGAGAAAAGATAGTCTTTTCAATAAGCAGTACTGGGAAAACTGGACAGCTACATGGAAAGAATTGAAATTAAAACATCTTCCCACACCTTTACAAAAACAAACTCAAAATGGATTAAAGACCTAAATGTAAGACAAGAAGCCATGAAACTTCTTAAACAGAACAAAGGCAAAACACCATTTGACATAAATCATAGCAATATT